GGTGATTCCAAACTTCTCCCAGGACCCCAGCCTTACCCCTTCCCAAGCCTCCTGAGGCCCTGTAAATCCTCCCACCCCTGCTTCTGGCTTTGAATGGGTTGGGCTTAATTCCCCCCCCCCTCTGCAGCTGCACATCAGGAAACCAGGGTATAAAACAACTTTGAGTAAGTAGGTGGAATAGGACCAGTGGCCTAGCGGCTGACAGGGAACAGGAAGTTCCTCCTCCCCTTTCTTTCTACCCTCCCTTTCTCTCAAGAAACAATTCCCTCCCAATCCTTCTCAGCTGGGCTTTTTTTTTGGGGGGGGGTATGGGGCTCCTGGTCTAAGACTCAAATTTGGTATAAGATGCTTTCTCTGATTGGCTGATGCTTTGGCCACATGAGCCAACTTCCAACCCCTGGACTCCTTTAGGATCCTCCCACTGGCCTGCAGCAGCTTTGACCCCAGGTCCAGCCATTTCTTGGACTTTGAGAGGCTCTTGGCCTTGGGGCCCCTCACTAAGGCTGCTCAGGGGACAGTAGCCATGCTGACAGAGGTGGCCAATGACCATCATTGCCTGCTAGCCGACCTACATATGGTGGGCCTGGCTGCAGGTAGATGAAGAGAAGGAGGAATAAATTTGTAAGACCTGAAAGCTTGGAGTGGAACTCAGTGGGAGAGTGCTTGCCTAGTGTGTCCAAGGCCTTAGCTTCATCCCCAGTCCTGCAAAAAGAAAAGTGGAACCTGACTTACCCTCTAGGCCTCACAGGCTACAGAGCAGATAAGAAATCCATCCTCACCCCTTAGCTCAGTACCTTTGTCTTGCTGTCCTTCGTCAAGACATCTTCCTCTATGGGGCTGGGAAGATGGCTCAGTGATAGAGTGCTTGCCTTGCATGTATGAGACCCTGGGTTCGATTCCTCCACACCATATAAGCAAAAAGAAAAAAACCGGAAGTGGCACTGTGGCTCAAGGGTTAGAGCGCTAGCCTTGAGCTGAAGAGCTGAGGGACAGCACCCAGGCCCAGAGTTCAGACCCCATGACCGCACCCAAAAAAAAAAATCTTCCTCTAAAATAGGAATTCCTTGCATGGGGTCCAGGCAAAGGAGCATCCACCCTTACATGTCCCTGGGATACTAAGGACTTCACTTTGTCTATAAAAGGGACAGGACAGTCCAAGCACTGAGTGGGCAGCCTGTGCAGAGGCGATGCCCAGCAGTCAAGGGTCTCCTGTAACCTTGGAGCCTTCAACTCTTTGAGGGTAAAACTGTGCCCAAGACTGAGGGCTTACCCTAGTAGGGACTAGGATCTCATCATGCCCCTCCATGCATTATTTCATGGCTACATAGCTGACTTTGAGGTCTGTGACCAGCTGCTGGGTCCAAGGAAGTTCCCGGACACTGGAATGTGAGGACTGAAGTCCTAGCACAGACCCTGTGGAGCATGGCCCTGAGCTCCAGCCCTGCTGGACCTAGCTGGCCTCTCCATCCAGGGGCCTAAGATGACCAGCTTCCAGGAAAGGCATTAAGGATGAAGTAGTCCTGTGAGTGTGGAACTTACAGGGCTCTCAGAACCCTCCTGCCCACCAGGAGCTCCAATTTTCCAGGGAAGAAGCAGCTAGGAGCAGAGGGAGGAACCTGAGGCACAGGCCCCACAAGAACCCTGTATATGTAATGGCCCTTCCTGTGGTCCCCACTTCTGAAGCCTCCTCCTGCCCACTTGGCCATGTCTTCCTTTTTCCAGTTTCAAAGGTCACGGCCATCCTGTTAGTCCTACTTGGGGCCCTCTTTTGTCCCCTTCCAGTCTGTTCCAGCTCTACTCCCTGCCTCTTTCCCCCTCCTTGTCCTTTCCTAGTGCTCTTGAAAAATAATCATAATCACAATAATTAATAACAACATGGCCCATGGCAGGCCTGAGGCAGCTCTTAAAGAAGAAACACTCATTTTCTCCTGGCTGAGCTGGTGGGACCTCTCAGGTCCAAGAGGTGGCTGTGATGCCACCATGCCTTTGTTCCTGCATCCTTCCTTCAGCTTGGGCTTGAAGGGTGGTGTTGCTTGCACCCTCCATCAGGCACTGGGCCTCCTGTATTTTAATTGAACTGTCTTTTCTTAGAGATAGATGTTTCGCCACATCCAGCTGCTCATGTGTATTGGGAAACCCGCCTGTAATCCAGTTCGGCTAAATTAAAAGACGCAGCAGCTGGACTGATTAAACAGGGAGGGGAGATTTGGACAGAGCAGGCAGGGAAGGGGACATTGCTAATGGCACCCCCCCTTTTTAAATAATGTTTCTGGTAATGCATTTGGGAGAATGTGAAAAAAAATAAAAAATAAAGCCGTAGAAATGTTAATGATATCCACAGGACACTCAGCAGGAAATGAGAGTGATCTGGGACTAATAAAAGCCGAAATGTAATTTGTGCAGATATACGAGGGAGGTGCAGCCTTCCGAGTGGTCCTGGGTTTGCGCATTCTGGGCTCATAAATGCACACCCAGGGAGGGCAGTGAACTGGCTCTGGCTTTGGAACGGGTTTGGAAGGGCTCTGTGCCAGACCCTGAACCTCAGGGTGGCCTCCTCTCTGAAGGGGGCAGGGGCGGGGCAGGAGGCACAGGGCTGCCCCACTTGACTAGGAGCTGCCATCAGCTCCTCCTCCAGGAGTGTTTCGTTTGTTTTGTTTTGTTTTTGTCGGTCATAGGGCTTGAACTCTGGGCCTGGGCACTGTCCTTCAGCTCAAGGCTCAAAGCTAGTGCACTACCACTTGAGCCGCAGCGCCACTTCCAGTTTTCTGGGTGGTTTATTGGAGATAAGAGTCTCATGGATGTTTCTACCCGGGCTGGCTTTGAACCGAGATCCTCAGATTTCAGCCTCCTGAGTAGCTAAGATTATAGGCATGAGCCACTGGTGTCCAGCTCCTCCAGTAGTGTTTTATCCAAGCTTCCAGGTGGGGATTGAAGCAGGTCAGAAGGGCAGCCACTACTTTGTGCTGGGGACAAAGGAGATGAGCCCAGGGAAGGAGAGGCAGAAGGCTTTGACAAGCTGGTAGGGAAGGACTTGCCTTGGGAGCAGCTGGATCAGGACAGATGTCTCTGGCAGCCTGCTCTACTGGACTGTGGTCTCTTCTGACCCCTTCTCTGGATTGGTCCTTAGACACTGAATGAGGATGTCATCTTTGATGGGGTCCAGACCAAAGAAGAAGGGTGGCTAGATCTCCCTATTCCACTCTCCTCACTTCACATTTCTCTTTCTTTTTTTATTTTTGTTGGTCGCGGGGTTTGAACTCTGGACCTAGGCACTGTCCCTCAGCTCTTCAGGTCAAGGCTAGCACTCTACCACTTGAGCCATAGAGCCACTTCTGGTTTTCTGAGTGGTTTATTGGAGATAAGAGTCTCACAGACTTTCCTGCCCGGGCTGGCTTTGAACCTCGATCCTCAGATCTCAGCCTCCTGAATAGCTAGGGTTACAGGCGTGAACCATCCGCGCCCGGCTTATTTCTCTTTCTTATTCCCACATTTGTTTTTCTTTCTGTGGCCCCTCAAAGAACCCTGGAATCTGTGCAGCCCTACCCAAGCCACCCCTCCTTTTTTTTATGTGTTTGGTAACAAGAACAGGAAAGTCCTTGTTCTCCTCTGGGGCCCCAGGCCACACAGGCTGAGCAAGTGGAACTCTTGTTCTTCCAGTCTCTGCTAGGTAAATCCAGAGCCTTCTGAGACTCAAGGCTGCTAGCCATTCCTCACCTGATTCCTGAAAGCCTGGAGCGAGCATCCCTTTCTCTTTGATCCCTCCTTTGAGAGTTTTCTGGGGTGATCAGGGCAGCCAGTCTGTTGGGGGAACCCTGAGCCCAGGCACCCAGGTCTGGCCTGTGTTGCAACCCCAGCCCTGCTTCCCTGAATAACCCGGCTTAGCTGTAGGTCGTTTCCTGACCCAGGGCCCTGCTCTGGGGCAGCTCAGACTCCTGAGCCCAGCTCCTAAAATCATAACCAGATGGGGTTCTCAGTGCTCCCTGCCCCAGCCCTGACCTGTGGAGACTGGGAGGGGCCCTGCCAGGAGGGATGGGACTGTGTCACACCATGCAGGAGGGGCCTGGGCCTGGGCGCTCTTCCGTGGCTGTGGGACTGCGTCTGTCTCCAATTAGTATGCGCTCCCACACTCTGGGCCACGTAATCTGTTTATGCACCTATGATATCAAAAGAGGAGGCAGGTGCTGCTGTCCTGCCTTCCCCCGAGTCAGGAAGGGACGCTTTCTGACTACAGTGGCTCCACAGCCCCCAGTTGACGTCTGCTAGCAGCAACAGACAGAGTCCAGATGGCATGGCAGTGATGGGGAGGAGGAGGAGGAGGAGGTGTGTGTGTGTGTGTGTGTGTGTGTGTGTGTGTGTGTGTGAAAGAGAGAGAGATGCCAGTGTGGACGTGTGTGTGTGTGTGTGCGTGCGCGTGCGTGCCTGGGTATGTGCTGTCATGCCAGGCCTTGGTAAGCAGCCTCCCCAGGATGGGGGCAGGGGCAGATCTTCACGGATCCCCCCAGCGTGTCTGGGTCACGCTCAAGCACGGCTGCAGGGGGACTAAGATTAGAGGATCCAGCAAGCCCCAGGGGACAGGAGCCTGAATTGCCTTGCTCTGCTAAATGATTTTGAGCTGTCTGCAAGGGCTGGGAGGAGGGGAGTGCAGGGGTGGGGGAGCCAGCTAGGAGGTGGGTGGGGTAAAGTGGCTGCTCCCGGGCGCCCTGGCTCTGGCTGGATCTCTTTGCACTTCTCATACTGGTGGTGGCTGTCCTTGGCGAGGCTCAGCTGCAGGCGCAGTGGAAGTGGGAATTAGGGAGCACACCTTCTTTCACCAGAAGTTGTCAATATGTGTACAGCTGGTGGGGAGGCTCTGGCAGGGCGAGAATATCAGGGGCCCTTCATAGGCTGGGGAGGTGGCTGGGAGGGGTGCTGGCTGAGGCCGAAGGACAAGGACAAGGCCCATCTGAATAGCTTTCCCTCCCCCACCCCCTGCCCTCCATCTCTCCTTTTTCTTTTCACAGATAACCAGCCCGAGTCATGCAGTCTTTTCGAGAAAGGTGTGGTTTCCATGGCAAACAACAGAACTACCCGCAGACCTCACAGGAAACATCGCGCCTGGAGAATTACAGGCAGCCCAGTCAGGCTGGGCTAAGCTGTGACCGGCAACGGCTGCTGGCCAAGGACTATTACAGCCCACAGCCTTATGCAGGTTATGAGGGTGGTGCCAGCACACCCTCTGGCGCAGCAACCACAGTGGCTGACAAGTACCACCGAGGCAGCAAGGCCCTGCAGGGGAGGCCGGCTTTCCCTGGCTATAGCAGCGTCCAGGACAGCAGCCCCTACCCGGGACGCTATTCTAGTGAGGAAGGTCTGCAGGCCTGGGGGGCTCCACAGCCACCTCCCCCTCAACCACAACCCCTGCCAGGAGGGGTGGGAAAGTATGAAGAGAACTTGATGAAGAAGACAGCGGTGCCCCCAGGCAGGCAGTACTCCGAGCAGGGCACCCAACTTCCCTTCCGGACTCACTCTTTGCATGTCCCCCAGCCTCCGCCTCAGCTGCCACAGCCCCAGCAACCCTTGGCATACCCCAAACTCCAAAGGCAGAAACTGCAGAATGACCTCGCCTCTCCCCTGCCTTTCCCCCAGGGCAGCCACTTTCCCCAGCATTCCCAGTCCTTCCCCACCTCCTCTACCTTCTCCTCGTCTGTCCAGGGTGGCAGCCAGGGGACCCACTCTTACAAGAGTTGCACAGCACCGTCTTCCCAGCCCCATGACAGGCCACTGACTGCCAATGCCAGCCTGGCCCCGGGGCAGCGGGTCCAGAACCTTCACACCTACCAGTCAGGCCGCCTTGGTTATGAGCAACAGCAGCAACAGCAGCAGCAGCAGCAAGCACTTCAGAGCCGGCACCATGCCCAGGAAACCCTCCATTACCAAAACCTCGCCAAATACCAACACTACGGACAGCAAGGCCAGGGCTACTGCCAGCCGGATGCGGCCGTCAGGACTCCAGAGCAGTATTACCAGACCTTCAGCCCCAGCTCCAGCCACTCCCCTGCACGCTCCGTGGGCCGCTCACCTTCCTACAGCTCCACCCCATCACCGCTGATGCCCAACTTGGAGAACTTTCCATACAACCAGCAGCCGCTCAGCACCGGAGCCTTCCCCACGGGTATCACCGACCACAGCCACTTCATGCCCCTGCTCAACCCCTCCCCGACCGATGCTGCTGGCTCTGTGGACACGCAGGCCAGCAACTGCAAGCCCCTGCAAAAGGACAAGATCCCTGAGAACCTGCTGTCAGATCTCAGCCTGCAGAGCCTCACGGCCCTGACCTCCCAGGTGGAGAACATCTCCAACACCGTGCAGCAGCTCTTGCTGTCCAAGGCTGCTGTGCCGCAGAAGAAAGGGGGGAAGAACCTTGTGTCCAGGACTCCAGAACAGCACAAGAGCCAGCACTGTAGCCCTGAGGGCAGTGGCTACTCGGCAGAGCCAGCAGGCACACCACTGTCCGAGCCACCGAGCAGCACACCACAGTCCACCCATGCCGAGCCCCAGGAGGCGGACTACCTAAGCGGCTCTGAGGACCCTCTGGAGCGCAGCTTTCTCTACTGCAGCCAGGCCCGTGGCAGCCCTGCCAGGGTCAACAGCAACTCCAAGGCCAAGCCTGAGTCTGTGTCTACCTGTTCTGTGACCTCACCTGATGACATGTCCACCAAATCTGATGACTCCTTCCAGAGCCTGCACAGCACTCTGCCGCTGGACAGCTTTTCCAAGTTCGTAGCAGGCGAGCGAGACTGCCCACGGCTGCTGCTCAGCGCGCTGGCACAGGAAGACCTGGCCTCAGAGATCCTGGGGCTGCAGGAGGCCATCGGGGAGAAGGCTGACAAGGCCTGGGCCGAGGCTCCTGGACTGCCCAAAGATGCCAGCAAGCCGCCCTTCTCGCTGGAGAACCACAGCGCTTGCCTGGACTCCGTAGCCAAGACTGCATGGCCACGGCCAGGGGAGCCAGAGGCCCTGCCTGACTCCTTACAGCTGGACAAGGGTGGCAGCACCAAGGATTTCAGCGCAGGGCTGTTTGAAGACCCTTCTGTGGCCTTTGCCACCCCTGACCCCAAAAAGACAACCAGTGCCCTGTCCTTTGGCACCAAGTCCACTCTTGGGGCTGCTGCTCCAGACCCCACCGCGGCAGCATTTGACTGCTTCCCAGACACAACCACCGCCAGTTCGGTGGACAGTGCCAACCCCTTTGCCTGGCCAGAGGAGAACCTGGGGGATGCTTGTCCCCGGTGGGGATTACACCCTGGTGAACTCACCAAAGGCCTGGAGCAGGGCGGGAAGACCTCAGAAGGACTGGGCAAAGGGGAGGCCCATGAGGCTTCGGCCTGCCTGGGCTTCCAGGAGGAGGAGCCCTCGGGGGACAAGGCAGCCCTGCTGCCTGGGGATTTCAAGCAGGAGGAGGCGGGCGGGGTGAAGGAGGAGGCGGGCGGGCTGCTGCAGTGTCCCGATGTGGGCAAGGCTGACCGGTGGCTGGAGGACAGCCGACACTGCTGTTCCGCCACTGACTTTGGGGACCTGCCACTGCTGCCAGCCCCTGGCAGAAAGGAGGACCTGGAGGCTGAGGAGGAGTACTCGTCCCTGTGTGAGCTACTGGGCAGCCCAGAGCAGAGGCCGGGCCTGCAGGACCCACTCTCACCCAAGGCCCCGCTCATCTGCACCAAGGAGGAGGCTGAGGAAGTGCTGGACTCCAAGGCGGCCTGGGACTCCCCCTGCCACCTCTCTGGGGAGTCCGTCATCTTGCTGGGCCCCACAGTGGGTGCTGAGTCCAAGGTCCAGAGCTGGTTTGAGTCCTCCCTGTCCCACATGAAGCCAGGTGAGGATAGGCCTGACGCAGAGCGGACTCCAGGGGACTCTGCCTCCTCGGACCCCTCCCTGGCCCCCAAACTGAGCAAGCCCGCTGTGCCCGAGGCACCGATTGCTAAGAAAGAGCCTGTGCCACGGGGCAAAAGTTTACGAAGCCGGCGGGTACACCGGGGGCTGCCTGAGGCCGAGGACTCCCCATGCAGGGCCCCTGCGCTGCCCAAAGACCTCTTGCTCCCTGAGTCCTGCACGGGGCCCCCACAAGGACAAATGGAAGGGGCTGGGGCTCCAGGCCGGGGGGCCTCAGAAGGCCTTCCCAGAATGTGTACCCGCTCCCTCACTGCCTTGAGTGAGCCCCGCACACCTGGACCGCCAGGCCTGACCACCACCCCCGCGCCCCCAGACAAACTGGGGGGCAAGCAGCGAGCTGCCTTCAAGTCTGGAAAGCGGGTGGGGAAGCCCTCGCCCAAGGCTGCATCTAGCCCCAGCAACCCGGCTGCCCTGCCTGTGGCCTCAGACAGCAGCCCCATGGGTTCCAAGACCAAGGAGACGGACTCCCCCGGCACACCTGGCAAGGACCAGCGCTCCATGATCCTCCGGTCCCGTACCAAACCCCAGGAGATCTTCCACGCCAAGCGGAGGCGGCCCTCTGAGAGCCGGCTCCCCAACTGCCGTGCCACCAAGAAACTCCTTGCTAACAACCACCTGCCCACCACGTTCAAGGTCTCCAGCAGCCCCCAGAAGGAAGGTCGGGTGAGCCAGCGGGCAAGAGTCCCTAAGCCCGGCACAGGGGGCAAGCTTTCAGATCGGCCCCTCCACGCACTCAAAAGGAAGTCAGCCTTCATGACGCCTGTCCCCACCAAGAAGCGGAACCTCGTCCTACGGAGCAGCAGCAGCAGCAGCAATACCAGTGGCAGCGGTGGGGATGGGAAGGAGGAGAGGGCTGAGGGCTCCCCCAACCTCTTCAGGAGGGTGTCCTCCCCCAAGAAGGCCAAGCCCAAGGGAAGTGGTGAGCCTCCCACCAAGCCACCACCCCTGGAGACCCCTGACACCTGCATCAAGCTCGCCTCCCGGGCAGCCTTCCAGGGTACCATGAAGACTAAGGTGCTGCCACCTCGGAAGGGCCGGGGCCTGAAGCTGGAGGCCATCGTGCAGAAGATCACCTCGCCCAGCCTCAAGAAGTTTGTGTGCAAAGTGCCAGGGGCCCCTCTTGGGACTCCTCTGAGTCCAGCCCTCCCGGACAAAGACCGTGGTGGGCTCAAGAGTGCTGGGGGCAGCCCAGCTGGGGCAGAAGAGGGTCTGGTAAGCATGGGTACTGGGCAGAAACTCCCGGCGGCTTCGGGAGCAGACCCGTTGTGCAGAAACCTGGCCAACAGGGCCTTAAAAGGCAAGCTCGTGAACAGTAAGAAACTGTCCTCACCTGACTGTTTCAAAAGTGAGGCCTACCCACCCGCAGAGGCCCTGCAACCCGGGGGGACTGCTCTAGCACCGAAGAAGAGGAGCCGGAAAGGCAGGGCAGGAGCACCAGGACTTTCCAAAATCCCACTGGAGAAGCGGCCCTATCTTGGCCCAGCTCTGCTCCTCACTCCCCGAGACAGGGTCAGCAGCATGCAGGGGGATGTCGAGGACAACTCTGGTGGTGGTGGTGGAGGAGGAGGAGGAGGAGGAGCAGGAGGAGGAGGAGGAGGCAAGAAGCCAAAGACAGAGGAGCTGGGCCTGGCCTCCCAGTCTCCAGAAGGCCGACCCTGCCAGCCCCAGACAAGGGCACAGAAGCAGCCAAGCCACACCAACTACAGCAGCTACTCCAAGCGAAAGCGTCTGACCCGGGGCCGAGCCAAGAACACCAATGCTTCCCCCTGTAAGGGGCGTGCCAAGCGGAGACGGCAGCAGCAGGTACTGCCCCTGGATCCTGCAGAGCCTGAAATCCGCCTCAAGTACATTTCCTCTTGCAAGCGGCTGAGGGCAGACAGCCGGACCCCAGCCTTCTCACCCTTCGTGCGGGTGGAGAAGAGAGACGCATTCACCACCGTGTGCACTGTTGTCAACTCCCCCGGGGGCGAGCCCAAGCCCCATAGGAAGCCTTCCTCTTCCACCTCCTCCTCTTCCTCGTTCTCCTTAGACTCAGCTGGGGCCTCCCTGACCACACTCCCTGGAGGCTCCATCCTGCAGCCTCGGCCCTCCCTGCCCCTCTCCTCTACCATGCACCTGGGGCCTGTAGTGTCCAAGGCCCTGAGTACCTCTTGCCTTGTTTGCTGCCTCTGCCAAAACCCAGCCAACTTCAAGGACCTTGGAGACCTCTGTGGGCCCTATTACCCTGAACACTGCCTCCCCAAAAAGAAGCCAAAACTCAAGGAGAAGGTGCGGCCAGAAGGCATGTTCGAGGAGCCCTCACTCCCCCTTGAGAGAACAGTCAAAGGCCTCGAGTGTGTGGCCACCGCGGCCACCGCCGCCGCTGCCACCACCACCACCACCACCACCACTACCACTGGGAAACCCCCCAGGCCTGACGGCCCAGCTGACCCGGCCAAGCAGGGCTCGCTGCGCACCAGCGCCCGGGGCCTGTCCCGGCGCCTGCAAAGTTGTTACTGCTGTGATGGTCGGGGGGACGGGGGCGAGGAGGTAGCCCCAGCCGACAAGAACCGCAAGCATGAATGCAGCAAAGGGGTCCCCACAGAGCCTGGTGGGGATACCCAGGAGCACTGGGTGCATGAGGCCTGTGCTGTGTGGACCAGCGGGGTCTACCTGGTGGCCGGGAAGCTCTTTGGGCTGCAGGAGGCCATGAAGGTGGCCCTGGACATGGTAAGAGGCCAGCCCAGCTGGGGTGGAGCATGGGGCCCTAGGAACAGGCAGGAAGCTGGTATCTGCAGAGCTGCAGGTTGAGTCAATGGTGTCCATGCCACAGAAGCCCCCCGAAGAGCTGGAAGCAAGGGGGTAAAGGGAGGGGGCAAAGTCAAAGCCCACATGAGACTAAGGCAGGACATGCTCATCACCCTCTCCCCAAAAACTCCTCTCTATAGCTCTTACATTCCACCCAGCCAGTTCCTACTCCCCTCCCCCCCCCCACAAACCTACCCTCACTAAAAGCCAGGGCCCAGAGAAGATGGGAGGCCCTAAGAATGCAGAGCAAGGGTGGTCTGCGGGAACAGGCTGGTCCTGGTTGGGCTGGGGCAAAGATGACCCTCAAGCCACAGGGAGCACGGAGCCCTAGTCCACCATAGCCCCTGTGTTGAGCCCTGAGTCCAGGGGAGCTGTGGCTACCGAGTGGCTGTGAACAGAGCCTTCACCTCTCTGTACCACCCCTCAGCTCCAAATCAGTGCCTGGTACCCACCACGGGAATCATGGGGACACAGTGAGTTAATGGTCATCATGCTGTTAGTGTGGCACCTGGCCCACATTTAAGACTCTATCTGGTATCACAGGACTAGGAAAACTACGATGATGCTGGTACTGAGCACTGCCAGGGCACTGCAGGCCACTGGGCACGGCTGTTTGGGCTCCCTTCCAGGGGTCCACAGCCTCTCTAGCCAGTGAGTCAGGTAGAGAGGGCGACAGGCCCACAGGCCCCTATAAAAACCTGCTCTCCCATGGCAGTGGCTAGTGGAAGTGTCTGTGCCCTAGGGTGGTAGACCTGTATCTTGCCACTGGGGGGTGTCCTTCTCCCTCCGCACACTTGGAGCTCAGCCAAATCCCTGGCCCCCTGCATTGGGTCCCTGCATTCATCCTGCCTTTTCTCTACTTACCACAGCCTGCTGCAGGTGCCAGGCTCAAGAGGAGCCAGGGCATGGAAGGGCATGGACTGCCAACCTCTGAGCCATTTGGCCACCTGGAAGAGCTGCCCAGGCTAGCAGACTTACCCATCCCCCTACCGGTGCTCTCCCATATACCTTGCTCTTCTTCCTTGTACCTGACAGCGGGTGTGGCCCCTCTGGGCTGCCACATCCCTGGGGCTGCTGAGGCTGCTGCGCATGCCCCCTGGGTTTCCTAGGCTTTTCCCATCTCCCCCTAGGAATGGCTAGAGGTCCTCTCTGGGCCCACCTTGTTCGGGACATCACAACCACTGTGCCCTAATATACACAGTAGGCCACAGCCCCCACAGCCCTGATCGCCTGTGGTTTTGTTGTTGTTTTATTTTGTTTTTCCTTCTATTTCCTGCCCTTCTCAATTTTTCTCCCTCCTTTCTGTGCCCTCTGCCTACCTTCCCAGCTATCCTGAAATAAATTCAGCTTTCTCTTACCATTAAAAAAAAATTGGCTGGGAGCCAGGTGCTGGTAGCTCAAGCCTGTAATCCTAGCTACTCAGGAGGCTGAGATCTGAGGATCATGGTTCAAAGGCAGCCCCAGCAGGAAAGTCTGTGAAACTCTTATCTCCAATAAACCATCAGAAAACTGGAAGTGGTGCTGTGGCTCAAGTGGTAGAGCACTTGTCTTGAGCTGAAGAGTGGAGGGACAGCACACAGGCCCAGAGTTCAAGCCCCACAACTGACAAAAAAAAAGAAAGAAAGAAAAGAAAAAATAAAGGAAAAGGCTGGAAATGTGGCTTAGTGGTAGAGTGCTTGCCTAGCATACATGAAGCCCTGGGTTCAATTCCTCCACACCACATAGACAGAAAAAGCCAGAAGTGGTGCTGTGGCTCAAGTGGTAGAGTTAGCTAGCCTTGAGCAAAAAGCTCAGAGATGGTGCTCAGGCCCTGAGTTCAAGCCCCAGGTCTGGCAAAAATAAAAATAAATTTTAAAAAATTCTAGTAGTTCTTGGACTTGCTGGTCCCAGCTGGTGACTACCTTGCCCCTGCCATTCATGTCAGCCCCACTGAAAACTACCATCTACCCTGCAGTCTCGGCTCTGTGGCCTTGTGGAGTACTGAGGGCCAGGGCTGAGAACCCACCGTGTCCCCTTGCATAGCACTGGCAGGCCAGAACTAGGAAGAACACAGAATGAAGTCCTTTCCTGTCCAGGCCTGTCCCTGTGGCTCTGACACACACACACACATGCCAGAGGGCCGGCTCTCCTGGACCCAAACTAAACAGGAGTTTGCTGGCCGCAGAGGGTCTCTCCCTACCAGCCCTAGGTGACCTGGGGCTGGCAGTCAGGGTGTGCTGTCCATCCAGACAAGAAGCCACTCCTGAGCCTAGGGGGGTCAGGGTAGGGATGGGTAATGATTGGAAAAGCCAGGCTTGTCCTCATGGAACACTTTAGAAGAATGTGCAGGATCTAGCCTTCCCAGGCTTCCTGTAGAGTGGCCTCTGGGATCACAGTGCAGCCCACTGCTTCCTGCCTTGCTGGCTCCCCTGAAACCAAACATGCTGAGCCAGACACCAGGTGTGCATGCCTGTAATTCTAGCACTTGGGAGGATCACAGTTCAAAACCAGCTCAGATAGGAAAGTCCATGATATTCTTTATCTCCAACTAGCCAGCAAAAAGCTGGAAGTGGAGCTGTGGCTCAAGGGGTAGAGTGCTAGCCTTGCGTGAAGCATCTAAGGGATAGTGCCTAGCTCCTGAATTCAAGCCCCAGGACTGGCAGAACCAAACAAACAGACCCTGGTGCAAATCCCAGTTCCGCCACGTGCCATTGTATAACTCCAGCCCTGATGCCAACCCAGGTTGGGCAGATCATCGTGACAGTCCCTACTCAGTACCCTGCTGGTGCTTTAGCCTCACTTTGCTGCCTTATGGACTGAGCTGTGGCCTCGGGCCCTCTCTGCCTCCTTCCCCACAATACCTGCAATCTTTGAGCCCTGCTATTCCCCGTCCTCTTAGAGCCTCAGCTTCCTGGTCTGCCTCAAGCCCCACTTTCCCATTACCGTCTTGTATGCCCCCTCCCATCCAGATGAGGCCTGGTGACAAAATGCTCCAGATGAGGGGGACACAGGGCTGACTTGTATTGTTATGAGGATGGCAGTGTCTGCTTAGGCCTGGTGTAGGCCTTGGGACAGACAAGGCAGCGCTCAGGCCTCATGTGGGGGTTCCTGGGGCTAGGGACATCAGAGATGTGTTTCTATACCTGTTTCTAAAATGGCACTCAGATGCCTAACTCAAGGGTTGTTGGGGGATACAAGAAAGCAAAGAGGTACTGTCAACCGTGGCAGCTCCCTAAAAGTTCTAACACGCTACGGGCTGCTATGGATTCAACTCAGCCTGGTCTGGGACCCCCCATTGGTGCTTTATTGCCTCTTGTGTAGGTCAGGAATTGGAGGTCACTGGATTCCAGATCCTCATGCCATTCATGAGACAGTGTGAAAAATTGGTATTCTAGAATATTCCTCAGCTCCCACTCCGCTCCTGCTCCTGGCCTCCTCAGCTGCAGGAGTTTAGGTGGAGCCTAATCCAGGGCAGCATGTGTACCTGGGTCCACTAGGTTTTGACACAGGCCCCAACCTGGAGCTGTGACCTTAGGAAAGTTTTTCAGCCTCTTCACCTACTGGTTAACCTGGATAAATAACATACTGGGCAGGGTGTGGAGGCTTCCACCTGTGATCTTAGCTACTCAGGAGGCTAAATCGGAAGGATCCTTTTCAGAGGCTAGCCCAGAACAAAAGTGCAAGACTATCTGAAAAATCACTAAAGCAAAACGGGTTTGGAGCATGGCTTTAGTAGTAGAGCACTCACTTAATTAGCAAATGTGAGGCTCTGAGTTAAAATTCCAGTACCACCCAAAATTAGAAATAACTGTGATTACTGGGAGCTAGTAGCTCATAGCTGTAATCCTAGCTACTCAGGAAGCTGAGATCTGAGGATCAGGGTTCAAAGCCAGCCCAGACAGGAAAGTCTGTGAGACTTTTTTTTTGGTCCGGTTGTGAGGCCTGAACTCTGGGCCTGAGCACTGTGTCCCTCAGCTCTTCAGCTCAAGGCTAGTGCCCTAGCACTTGAGCCACAGCACCACTTCCGGCTTTTTTCTTTTTGCTTATGTGGTGCTGAGGAATCCAACCCAGGGCCTCAGGCATGCAAGGCAAGCACTCTACCACTGAGCCCCTGTGAGACTCTTATCTCCAATTAATCACCAAAAAGCTGAAAGTGGGCCTGTGGTTCAAGTGGTTAGAGCACTAGGCCTTGAGCACAAAAGCTCAGGGACAATGCCCAGACCCTGAGTTCAAGCCGCAGGAACAGAAAAAAGCCCTGATACTACTGGGCTGCCAGGACTTGGCCTCGGCCTGCTCTGCTCCTCACTTCCTTCCCACCTTGACTTCTCAGCAGGATCACACTACTGTGGTTCATGAACACGCGTGGCCTTGGACCTGTCTCTGTCCCACTTTTCCAAGGGCCTTCTCTGCATTGTCTTACTAATATGGCCACATCCTGTGCACACCCCCCCCCCCCATGTGTAGGGGCAGGCCTATGCCAGGCCAGGTTCCGGTCAGGTTCACATGGAATCAGAATCTTGAGGTTCCTGTGTCACCACCTTTGCATCTGACCTTTGTTGTCCCCGGGAGGTGACTGTGTCACCCTGGCTACAAGGATCTGGCTCACTGCTGCATGCTCCTGCTACCGAGAGACAGCAGAGCCTCCCACCCTCCCACCATCTGTAGAGGGGGGCTGCTAGAAGGAGCCAGCAGGAGCCAGCAGCAGCCACGCAGGGTGGAACCATGCTTGAACTAGCTTTGCTTTACTCACTTTTTGGATAAAGCCTTACATCTTTGCCCTGAGGAAGCCCCAGATCGCAATCCTTCAGAGTTCTGCCTCCTGAGTAGTTGGGGTCACAGGTAGAAGCCACCACACCCAGTTCAGTATTACAGTTATTGATCTCTGTCTCAGCTCCAGGCTGGGCCCTGAGTCAAAACCTAGTAGGCCCAGTCATACTACGTTGTGAACTTTGCAGCTGGGGAGCCCAGGAGCAGGAGTGAAGTGGGGAGCTGAAGAACATTCTAGAACATCAGGTTTTCATACTGCTTCTGGGTCGATAATTTCCGCTGCTTAAACCAGGCATGGTAGTGTATGACCATAATCCCTGATGCTAGGGAAGGGTTGATGGTGATGGGAGTGTAGAAGGTTCTAGGCAATCTGGGCAAAATTCGTGAGCCTCCTGTTTAAGAACCAAAATATAAGCTGGGTTCTCATGACTCACATCCATAATTCTAGCTACTCTGGAATATGAGGCCTAGAGTGTTATGGTTGCAAGCCAGCCCAGGCAGAAAAGTTGTGAGATTCTTATCTCCAAAAATCAGTAAGAAGCAGGACCGGTGTTTTGGCTCAAGTATTAGTGCATCAGCCAAGCAAGCATGAGACCCTGAGTTCAAATCCCAGTGCCACAAATGTTTTTTTTTTAAAAGAGCCAAGGACACACCACTCAGCATGAAGGAGCACTGGGCAGATGCTGGCTGCTAGCCCTAGCCATAATGGCCAGTAGTGTCGCCAGCACCCAGCATGCCAGCCCAGGGGCTTCCAGACAGCAAGTGCTTATGGGTGTTTGCATCCCAGCGCTGAGCCTCCTGGCTGCCTTCCAGCAGCAGATTTGGAGGAGGCAGGAGGTGGGGTTGCTGGGGTCTGTGTGGAAAGATGGGGGACTCACCTGCCTTCCTTGTCTCTTCACTAGACATGTTCCAGCTGCCAAGAAGCCGGGGCCACCATTGGGTGCTCCTACAAAGGATGCATCCACACCTACCACTATCCGTGTGCCAGCGACGCGGGTGAGTGCCAGCCAAAGGGACCGGGGTTGGGGGCGCATGGGCACAGCTCCTCTAACCCAGGTCCCATGTCACCACTGGGGCCCCCTCCCACTCCCTCATTCTTCTTTTTCTCTGCCTAGATCTGGGCTGGGCAATGCCAGGGTCACTGAAATCAGGTCCCACTCATCTGGTTAGGATAGCCCAGAGCAGTGTGAAGAGATAAGTCATAAGCAAGAATATGGAGAGCTTACTAAGGAGCTGGGCCTTTGGAGGATGAATAGGATTTGCACAGAGACCAAGGGAAAGGTTATACAACAGTAAATTCCAAATGAAGGACTAGGAGTATAGCTCAGTGCAGAGCATTTGTCCTGCAAATATGAAGCCTTGGGTTACATCCCCAATCAGACAAGTAATCTTGAGCTCCCTTCTGTAATTCCAGCTACTCAGGAGGTAGGATTAGAAAGCCAGCCCAGGCACAGTTGCCGAGACCCTATTTCATGGATAAGTTGAGTGTGGTGGTGGTACACCTCTGTAATCCTAGGTAGGAGAAGTGCAGTCTGAGACTGGCCTCAGGAAAAAAAAAATAGGAGACAACTGAAAAATATCTAAAGGAAAAAGGGGCTAGAGGTGTGGTTCAAGTGTGGAAAACCTGCCTAACCAGTATAAGCCTTGTGTTCAAATGCCAGCAGGTGATGGGGGAGAGGGAGAGAAGAGGTCTGAGACCAAATGGGCTATTGGCCCATTGGTTGAGCAGGGTGATGGGTGTAGACACAAGCCATAGCTCCCTGCATTCCCTCTCATTCTCTTCCTCTATCTTACGTATGCACTGTTGCCAGGCACATACAGTAAAGGGTTGCACCAGCCTGCTCCTCATTGGCCAGGTAGGGAAACTGAGGCTCAGTGAGATTCTTTACATCTACGCAAGAAAAGCTGTCACTCATGGTGTAACAGTCACCAATTTCTTGATGGTATTTGGTGGTGGCAGTGGTGGTGGTTATGGGGCCAGAACTTGGGGCACTGTCCCTGAGCTCTTTTTGCTCAAGGCTAGTGCTCTGCTACTTTGAGCCATAATGCCACTTCCAGTATTCTGTTGATTAATTGGATATGAGCCTCACAAATGGTCCTGCTCTGGCTGGTTTTGAACTGAGATCCTCAGGTCTCAGCCTCCTGAGTAACTAGGATTACAGGTGTGAGGCACCCAGCTCATTTTACGGGAGGGAGTCTTAGGCCCAGATTCAATCCTGGTGGCCTTTCTTCCCACATAGTCTGGGGCACCACAGCTGTCTCTGCCCAGGGTTATGGGGAGCAGAGCAGAATAGTGAACCCTAACCAGAAGGTACAGCCTCTTTCTTATTTTGGGCCTGGCCCCTCTTTACACCTCCATCCCTTAGAGCTCTAGCCCGGATGGCAATGATGTGACCTTCACTCTGCCTCGTGGTGGACAGAGCCCAGGGCTCCTGTCACCGGCCATAGACCCTCCCACTGCCCCACCTGCCTCCTGGGTCCAAGGCCAGCACCAGCTCCAGCTCTAGCCAAGCTACCAGATTTCAAATGGTGACCTCAGAGGGGGCGGGAGGGGCCACAGGAGTGGGATTGCAGTGGGGTTTCTTGCTGGCTCTGCCTCACACTACACACTGGGGGTCAGGTTTGGACATGGACATGGCCTTATCTGGGCCCAGTCTCACTCCCACAGCAGCTAACACGAGTGAGTTCCTCCTCTGTGGGAGTTAATATGGTGCCACTGCATGCCACGCCCTCCAGCAAGGCCCAGTGCCATCTCCAGCTGCATCTTTACCAATGGGCAGAGCTGTCATGGCCCCACCGCCTGGCCCTGGAGAGAGGGGCAGGGCACAAAGGCTGGCTTTCTCCATCTTTTTTTCCATCCTCCCCAGGGAACCCCGTGGAGTGGCAGACAGGACGGCCTGGTTCTGCCCACAGTAATTGAGACCGGGCAAGGAGGAGGAGAGTGTGCTTGTGGGAGAGGTTTGCCCTGCCCGAGCTGGGAGGGCATCCAGGGAGAATTCAGGCAGAGGTGACGTTTGAGTGAAGCCCCAAAAGACCCAAGGAGGTGGACCACAGCTGGTTAGCGGTGGACTTTCACTAGGCTCTGAGCTATATAACAGGAAGCTCTGCAGAGTCAAGGGAATTCAGCCAGGAAGGCAGCTGGGAGGACAAGATCAGGGCTGATGAGCTCCTCCTGCCTTAGCCCTGCCAGGAGAGGATGGTTGGCTGGTGTGGGTAGAGTCATATACCCCAAGACTGTGCGGCACCAACCCACAAGACTCGTAAGAGATGAGGAATGGGGTGTTGAGCCTGACATCTAACTTCCCGGTATTAGGGGAGTCGCTGGTCGGAGCAGGGCTGCTGTGAAAAGATAGAGGGGAATACTGCTACTGAGCTACTATTCCTTCCAGGCTCACCTTAGTGGTTTAAACAGCAATGATTCCTTAATTCTGACAAGGGCACAGGCCAGCGGGCAGGTTCTACACCAGGGGTTGGATGCTCTGGGGAGGCCACAGCTGGATCAGTTCTTATTTGCTGCACATGGTCCTGCCCCCAGCACTGGTCCTCTCACTGCCCTGCCTACAGACCTTACCTCACTTCTGCTGGCGATGATAACAAATACCAAGGGCTGCCAGGGTTCACAATGGGATGAGCTGCAAGGAGCTCACACCACAAAGGATCCATGTGATCCACCTTCTACGCATGCAGCTATGCCTATGCCGGGGACCAGCTGTGCTGAGGTCTCCTAGACAGAACTGTCCCGGTTGGGCTCATCCGGTTAGTCCCTGGCAATCAATCAGCAGCTGGAGGCTCATGTGAGTGGTGTAAGGGCCAAGAGGGGGGCAGCCAAGATGTGCTCAGGCCTCCAGAGTGCCCACAGGCTGCCGCCTACCATCTTGTGCTGCCTCGCTGGCCCTCTCAGCCCGATACCCTTCCAGTCCTTACTAAGGATCCCCACTTGAGATCCGTACTGGCTCTCAAGAACAGAGCCAACAAGATGTCCTGTTAGAACATTCCACCCAGCCCATGGCTCACCAGGCCAGCCAGGTGGGAGCAGGGGGACACTGAGGTCTGGCCCTTGTCAGTGACTGCCCCAAGTGGCTGCTGGGTGATTGCTGGGCTAGCTGTTTTGGAAGTGGTGACCCATACCCACAGCTTCCAGTGGCCCAGGTCCTTGACCCAAGTATCTGTCACCGAGCCAGAGGACCACCTTCCTGCAATGTGTGAGCCCAGTGTGCTGTGGAAATCTAGCCTAGTTGTGGAGCTAAATGATGGCTGTTGGCTGTTTCCAAGCAGCTGGTACTACAGGCAGCTTTCAAGTCATGGCTGCCCCTGCTCCTAGATCCTAGGGAGTGGGCAGAAAGAAGTAGGAGGCCACAATGAGGCCTGCAGCTATTTACCCAGCAGCCAGGCTCCTACTTGGGGGTGTGGTTGCTCCCCAGTGTGAGCTAGAAGGAGGCATTAAGGAAGGTGGCTCCTGGCCAGTGAGCAGGGAAGGGAGATGAGCCCAAAGAGGCCTCAGGTAGAAAATGGAGGTGCACAGGGAGGAGGTGCACAGGTCTCCCAAGATGGCACTGGGCCAGGTGCTGAGCCTACTCTGGTTAGGGAGGCATAACTCCTGGCCATGCTTGCTGTCTTCTGCACAGTAGGCCACTGCCTGTACACCTGGGATTTACAGGGACCCGAAATCTCTGTGTGCAGCCTCCCTGTTCCCATAGGAACAAATCCCTCCCCCAGCACCTGCTTTGCACACAGCTCAAGTGGAGATTGATACACCCAACTAGTTAGGCCATATCCTGCAGATGGGGAGACCATGACTTGGCACAGCTGAATAGAGTCCAGACCTGTGACACTACCATACCTGCCTAGCTAGGTATGCATCTGGGGGGTGAGGGGGGCTGGGCACATTCCTCACACTGCAGCCTTCTTTAGGAGGGAGACTAGGACCCATGCCTACTGTAACAGGAGTGACCACACAGAACCAGGCAGATGAGAAGAATCTAGAGGTAGGAGTCTGCCTTACAGTCAGGGAAGATCTTCAATGACAAGAAGTGTGCCAGTGGAAGTTCTAGGTGGAGGAGATGGGGTAAGGGTTAAGCCCAGGGGCTGCGGTGTCCCCTGGCATCCCTGTGATGGAATTTGGGTTGTGGGGCTTTAAGCAGGACCTGGGCCATTCTGTGCCACAATTCTCCTCTGGCCTCCAAACCCGGCCAGCAGCGAGCTCAGCCCCGCTCTAACCACCAAACCTTCTCTTTGGTCACAGGTTGCATATTCATCGAAGAGAACTTTTCTTTGAAGTGTCCCAAGCATAAGGCAAGTGGCCCATAAGTGTCCCCATTTTTTTTCCCACTTCCTTTATAAGCCCTTCCTCTGATCTGCTCCGCTCTGCGCCTTCCTGGGCCTAGGAGCAGGTCGGCACAGGCAGGTAGGGAAGAAGGCTGCCTCCATCGGGCAGGTCTTGAAGAAGGGACCCGCCAGGGGATGATGGAGAGAGGGCTGGCGGGGCCCGTGGTGCGGGCTGACAGCGTGTGATCAGAAGAAAAGCGCGAGCGGGACGGGTCGGTGGAGGTCGGGGCGGAGCCCTGCGGGGCCGGCCGGGGGCGGAGCCCGCGGGACGCCGCCTGGGTGGGCGGGGCACGCGCGCGAGCGCGCACGTCTTCCTGCCTCCCCCGAACCCCGTGGAGTGGCAGACAGGACGGCCTGGTTCTGCCCACAGTAATTGAGACCGGGCAAGGAGGAGGAGAGTGTGCTTGTGGGAGAGGTTTGCCCTGCCCGAGCTGGGAGGGCATCCAGGGAGAATTCAGGCAGAGGTGACGTTTGAGTGAAGCCCCAAAAGACCCAAGGAGGTGGACCACAGCTGGTTAGCGGTGGACTTTCACTAGG